TAGGCTCAGTCTCCAGCCGTCGGGATTTCGTGCGCCCGCGATACTCTCTCCCCTGACGGCTGGGCGCATGAGGTTCGCTATTGTCAGTCTTGACCAATCAGCGAGTGGCCCCCGATATTTTGAGGGGCATATCATTAATAAATTAGCAGGCAGCAGTGTAACAAAATGGCGTACAATTCGTCGTTTGAGATTCTCTTTGAAAGTGCTTGTTTGAAGGCTCTGAAGTCGTTTAGCTTGGACGAATTTAGAGAAATACAGCAAAAGGCTCTTAAAGAGATTGTTCTTGGAAAAGATGTCCTTGTTATTCTTCCTATACTGGCTCGGGCAAATCTCTTATTTTTCAAACAGCGCCACTAGTGTATTTTGCTCGTTTTTCTGGCAGATAATACATCCATTTGGATTATTAAACCCTGCACATGTTTTACTTGGGGTAATTTCCATTCCTTTCTCTTTTTTAAAGCGCTAACTATTACATTATATCGCTACTTCGCGAAGTTTTCATTTCACATAATTTCCCGCCTTGTAGCAAAACCTTTACGGCTGTTGTCAGATATTTCACTTCCGTTCACTGAAAAATTCACTTCCGTTACGTCATAATATGCTAATTACACAAAAACGTCACGGACATGCGCGACACGTTTTGAACCCCATGCGCCCAGCCGTCAGGGGAGAGAGTATCGCGGGCGCACGAAATCCCGACGGCTGGAGACTGAGCCTACATATTGTGTAGCAACGTAACTTTCTAAAGCATGAATAGTGGGTATAAGAACGTGCGACGGACTAATACAGTTCCCATCATGCCTTGTTGTACTAAATGCACGTACATTGTCTACAGTTATATCATATCTATGTTATTATTGAAGATATTACCTAAGAATATGATTCTTGGTACGTAGGACCCGTCAATGTCGTATTTCTTTTCAGGAATTTCATCGTCCTGTTTAAAAATCAATCGCGATGGTAAGTGTAACAATAGAATACTACAATTTAGGAATCTAAAAGTGCGGATACAACTCTTAAAAGGCCTACTTGCACCGGAGAGCCTTTGCTTTAGTTTGTTTGTTTGCTTATTTTAATGGAATAGTTTTAAAAAGTTGCTTTCTTATTGGTCGAAATCAAAAATGGAGATATTTTGTATATAAAAGAAAATCGATCAAAGATTCTCGAATGCACGTGATCTCCTCAGTTGKTTTGTGGCTCATAATTGATATCATTTATACCAATGTGATTTGAAGTGATAGTTTAGATATCGTTCAATTTGTCGCAACATTTTGCATTAAATATTTGGAAAATTAAAAGTGAAGTATAAAATAGTCACATTTTGTTGTTAAAATATCCAACAAGTTTGAAATAGTTAATATAGTAATTCCTCTATTTACATTTACAACTCACCTCTAGGTTAACCATGACGAAGTCTTTGCTTAGTTTTGCTATTTCCTGAGATTCTGCAATCTTAGACTTTAGAGCTAGTGAAAGAATAATTGTCAAACTGAAATTTAAAGTTAGGATTTTTAATACATACCAATTGATATGTATACTAAATTCGCGCTATAAAAAGTAGAGGAAAGAATTGGTCCTGACTGATATAAAACGCGCAACCARTCCTGCTTCTCTAAATCGATCCAATATTCACCAATACATCGCCCCACACAACAAACTAAATCACTTTACAATGCAATACGAAGCCGGAATAAACTTTTCCTACATTTGAAAAAAAAAATGACGACGTCACCAAGTGACGTTATAATGACATCACAGTGACGTAAAAGTACCTTGACTGTGCTGACACCATGATCGGTGAAGGATCATCATGACTGGCTTCTCGCTGAAAGAGGAAATGTTACTCCATCACCATCAGAAAATAAAGTATTGATCACTACTCATTCAATAATAATTACGGCTAATTATTATATTATTCTACTCAGTTGATAATGTTGATTATACAACTTTTCAGTAAAATCAGACGTTTTGATTGGTTGGCTTTCGTGTGTTATCAAAGTATAGATACACGGATTACGTCAAAACTAATTGTTTGTTGTATAAAACATGCGTCTCGTGCGTACTTTTTTGTTCTCACTACATTTTGACGTCATCTGTGTATCTATTAGAGTACACACGCACGGAAAAATGAGATTTATTTGTTAAATATATTTTACAATTTTGATTTCGTTGTCGTCGTAGTAGTAGTAGTGGTAGTTGTTATTGTAATTATTTTTGTATTTTGATAATTATGGGTTACCTGTTTTTAGCCTGGGAAAGTGCATCATTCAAAGGAACCCACGTGATTTCTGTACCAAAACCTTCAAAGTAGAGACAACACCATCAATACACCTCTACACAGTATAATATTTGCTAGCCGCAAGTGTTCTACATACAGCGCAATTGCAGGACAAGTATTTGCTAAGAAAGATGTTGGCAAAAGCTTATAACTTTGTCTTTTTTAGCGGGAATGCGACAGTGTGTTGCACGCTTTCGATTCAAATAACAATATTTGCTGAAAACAGTCACAATACCAATCATCGAAGGTGACGGACGTTTGTTTAATGAATTGTGTACGTCATATAATACCTTGTGGAACTGGCTTGGAAACACCTATCTTCACTGCGCTTCTCATTGAGGTCAACACTAAAACAAGACAGTTAAAAAAGATCATCATCATCTATATTCGCAGTAGTTTACTGAAAGTTGATCACAAGCCATTGGATAACAGCCATTGGATATGAAGAAACTTGCTTGCTGATTGGCTAATCCACTACCAGGATATCATGTCATATCACTCGAATAGAGAAAAACAAAACATTTGAACTTCGTTCTTTCACGTAGTTTTATAGGACGTGCATCATCGTTTAAAGGCCCATGGTCTACCAGCATCCCTTTCGAGCTTTCTCATATGAATAGAGTTATAGTAAGATTGTCCTTATAAAACGGACGGATGAAAAACGGATCGAGAATGCATATTCTAAGTCACCTCAATTTTTTAATTCCATATATGAAAAATCTAAAACACGACCGCATTGAATGCTGGTGGACCATGTCCCTTTAAAATATCTTTATCAATGTCATGATGCACACTACCAGGTCACAATGACGTCATTAGGAAAGAAGAGTAATGATTGGTACTAGCAATGACAATAGGGCATTAGGTGCTTACGTTCTTTTGGTTCTGCATAAGCGAACTTAAATTCAGCGTAAACCGGATCTTTGTTATAGACATCCTTCATAACCATCTTCGTGTAGGGATCTTAYACAAAAATTAAAATAAAAAAAGTTAATATATATAGTCATTAATACACCTTTTCAATTGCTCTTAGACCTCGACAGCGTGTTAAATATTCTTTTGAATTTGTAGGAATGTGAGCAATGCAAACATTGATATGAATAGTCTCATTTGTCAAATTCAAAAGAATAATTAACTTGCTATCGAGGCCTGAGTGTAGCTAAAAGGTGTATTGGGATAAATTCGTAGATATTCAGTGTAATCGGTCCTGCATATATTGATATAACGACCAATAAACAAGGGGTCGACAGAACGAAGCTCGTGATTGATCGAGACAACAAAAACAAAGAATTGTAGGATTATGTCAGACAATGCCTATTGTTTTACCGACATCTAAGACCCTGTTTACATGAGATAGGGTACCCCTAGTGGTAGGTCCAAAATCCTTTGTTTTAAATCCTCCAGGGAAAAGAAAACAAAAGAGTTGGGTCACCCTATCTCATGTAAACAGAGTCTTGCCTGCCTCAATCAAATCTCAATCTTTATTCTAACAGTAGTGTCTACAATTCGGCTAAACAAGGTCTGTGCAGCTCAAATTAGTATGTCGCGTATAGGATTTGTTTTACTTATCATTCTCTGTTTCACGGGTTTATGACCATTATTTTACTTATCAGTCTCTGTTTCACGGGTTTAATTAAAACCTACCAATGAAGTAAATCCTTGGAACGTAAGCTCCATCGACATCAAACTGTTTCTCCAACTTGGCATCGTCGTCCTGATTGACAGCAAATATCAATATTCAATGACAAGAATGCATTACATAATAGTACTAAAGTATGCTAATTATTTTGTTTTTTACTGTTTTAAAAGGGTCGTCGTCCACCATCATTCAATGCAGCTGTGTTACCGGGATTTTGTCATATATGGAAAATAAGCAATCCGTTTCCATCCGTTGGCTTTAATAGAGTGAAAATCGTCTACCTGGTAACCCGAAATTAATAATGTTCCAGCTAAACATTGACCACGTTAAACTGTTGTAGGATTGTACCTTAGCTGATCATGGGCGATCGACTGACTCAAGATTCACAAATAAGCAAAATAGTCCTACCTCTATATTAACCATCACAAGTTTGCGGCCCATTCGAATTAGGTTTTCAGAAGCAGCAAATTTCTTTTTGAAAGCTATGAAGATAATTCATTTGTTATTTTCAATGC